TCCATCAAAAAGTTCCATGGAGAAAGTTGATTTGTAATAACTATGGTGCACCAAGATGGATTTATATACTTAACCTAGCAGCTCATAGGAGGCTAAAGCACAAGGGACAGGCTGGCTAGCTGGGGTGTGACTGATACACTGGTGTGTCCTCTGTGTAATGCTGCTAATGAGACTATTGACCATTTATTTTTCAGCTGTGTGTACTCAAGTGGAATATGGAACAGATGATTACAATGGCAAGGTTTGACAAGAAAGGCTATGAGCTGGCAGCATGAAATGGCATGGATGGAAGTAAATGAGAGGGGTAGGAGCGCTAGAGCAGAGGTATTCAGAATGGCTATAGCTGGATGTCTATATCATATACGGCAGGAGCGAAACATGAGGATATTTCAGAATAAGCAAAGGAAAGAGGAGCAAGTTATCAGACAAATTGTTCGAGAGATATTCTGCAGAGGTTCATTGTGGGCTCGATTGGCTAAAAAACTGGAAAGCTTAAATTTTTACCCTTAGCTAGCCTAGTAAATGCTTTATGATATTGTTGTTGTTTACGGGGTACACTAGTGCTAGATATGATGCCCAGCTTTAGTGCTGGTTTTTTTGTTTTGTTTGAGCTGTACAAAGGTTACTTGGTAATTAATAAAAAATTATTTACCAAAAAAAATAAATCAAAGGGACCCCTACATTGTGCATTACCTCGCAAGCAGTCTTTTCTCTTTGTTTCTTCGACAGAGACTTGATGGCTTTAAAAGCATCTGCAAAGGATGCTACCACGCAGTCCTTGAGTGATGCAACCTCCTTGTTGAGCTAGTGAAAGGGAAAAAAACAAAGTTAAAAAAGTGTTGTGTATAAAAATTCAAATGTAGAACTAAAATAGCTCAAGTGGCCGTACCATCTGAATCTCACTCTTCAACTCCAACTGTCCATCACTCAGTCTTTTTAACTCGGTGCTCCAGTCATCATTGTTCAACGGATGATCAGGTTTAGTTATAGGCTGCTTCCTACTTGTTTGAGGCGGCGGACCGCTAAAGTCGTCATAACTAAGATGAACTTCAGCACCATCTCCAGATGCCACCTCATTATCCCTTTCGTTTTCAAATGATTCAGGCAAATTCAGTGTTGTTTGCTCAAATGCTGTTGGAGAAATATTCCTCAGCATCAACTACATAAAAAACATTAGCATGAAAAGAGAATAAACGTACGTCGGTTCATAATTAATAATGTCTAATAAACTATAAATACACCTTAGACAAGAGGGGTTGCTCTGATGGTAAGCAACCCCCACTTCCAACCGAGAGGTTGTGAGT